CGTACCGTACGGCCAGTGCGTGCCAAAGTCTGCCGTAGTCAAAGGGTTAATTAAATCACCATGTTGCGGGTTTTTCGCTGTTGACAAAGGTCATTTCACTCATGAAATCTTAAATTATTCGTGGGATAAAATAATTTGTTTGCAGATACACTATGGCTCGCTGCATTTATCTTCCTGACTGCTCAGTTCTCTGCAGAGATTCTTGACTTTTTGTTACCGCTTAACGCCTCGCGACCTCACAATTATCCGTTCCAAATATACTATCCCGGCGATCAAGAGAAATACTTCTACCTGGACGCTATCTATGTATGTTTCACAATATTCTTAGGTTGTACTACGTTCATTGGTACAGAAGCCGTGAGCGTGATGTATATGCAACATGTTGTCAGTTTGTTGAGAATCGTAAGGTAAAAGTGTCATTTCTTCCCTTTCCGAATGTTTTATGCACTCCAGAGAAATTCTCACAAAACGAAACCGTTTAAAGACGATTCTCATTTCCAGTTATCGTATTCAAAAAGCAATTTCTGACTCCACAAATGGATCGCAGAAATGTTTAGCGGATAAAGGGAAAGAGGATCTGATCAAAGCCATCGGTTTGCACACACGAGTGATCAAGTTCGTATTTCTGAAAAATATTTATACTCACAATACTTTCCTCGTTACTTAATAGATAACTCTTTTACACGAGTTAAGAACTCAATACTTCTGAGATTTGGTCACCTAGAAATGGCCCCAATACATTTAATTTTTTGAAGGTTCATTAACCTTATGGAGAAACACTTCACGGTTTCGTACTCCTTGTTCCTTATCTGTGGCGTCACTTCTCTTAGCGTTAATCTATATTGGGTGAGTACCTCGCCTCGTCTGTAAAGAACATATTCTGTTTAATAAGAAGAATAAAACCTGGAAGAATTTCTTTTAGCTGTCACAGTTGATGCATGAAGTGAATGATCAAATGCTTATTTCTTCGACGAACATTCTTGTCACCTTCATGTACATGTTCTGTATGAATTATATAGCACAAAACGTAAACGATGGCAGAGACGGTATTTTCACAGCTTTGTAAGTTCTAGTATAATTCATTCGTTATTAGCAGCATTCGATCCGTTCATGTATCGTAAATTATCACTAATTACATATTTTGTTCCATTGGAATGCATGTTATTTAATGGAAATTTGTAGATACAACAGCGAATGGTACAGAACGCCAGTATCCATGCAAAAGTTGTTACTGTTCATAATGTTAAGAACACTAAAGAGTGAAACGTTCAACCTGCTGGTTGTGTTCACACCATCACTCGAAGGTTTCGCGACTGTACTTATCGCTTCAGTTTGCTGAATAATAAAAGTCTCACAGTACCTCGATTGCATGTATCTGTATTTTCAGTTAGTAAATACGTCAGTATCCTATTTCATGGTGATGTACTCCGTCCAGTGATATTGTTAACAAATGATAATGGATTAGCCATCATAGGAAGTTTGTTGATCGATGAAACACTTCCATTGTTCAGCGATGTAACACTCTTTTTATTGCACGGTTCAATAAACGATTATTTGTGAGGAAACCAGTCTGAATTGAATGTTATAAATTGGAATTACCTCGCAAGCACTTCACCTCTTTGACACATATCATTCTCGTTGTACACATTTGCACGTTCCAACCGTACTGAGCCGACTGAGGGCTACTCGAGAAACAATTTCACCGGACTATACACTGAGGATGGGTGAAGATTCGTAGGAACAACACGTTTCACGCTTCCCCTTTGTTCGTACGTTCACGTGTGACCTATCTTCTAATCTTCTAATAACTGCGATTACGTGATAAGAGGCGAAAATTGATCGACGTGTCATCAATTAGACATGAACACCTCACAGTGCCAACTGTAGATGCTACCCTTCTGACTTTCACAGGAGTGTAAGAAATAATTTTTCAGAGCTGTAAGAAAGGAAATAATTCAGTGGGTGGTTTGACAAACAAATCGTCAATAGCACTTCAATCTCCGTACACGATGGCTGAACCTGATCTTATGGTGAGGTATTATAATATATTTTTTTTACGTCCTTAAAGTTTAATTACCAATCTTCTGGTCCTAAGTAATTCTTGAATGAAGAGCAGCTGGAAAGTGGCTACGAAGCGATGAGTTTAATTGTCGCAAGCGAAACTGCAGCACATCGAATTGAAGTACCTGCTCTTAGAAGTCCATCTGAGCCTAACGATAGTAGCGTATGCGTTCTTGGCTAATTATATGGGCGAAACCTTTGGAAGAGGAGAATTCGTTTGAAGCCGTTCTCAAATGTATTTTCCCACTATTTTCCGTAAGTACAAGTGGCAGTAGTATCATTTAAACTCCGAGAACAACAATTTTATTGCACAAGTAATAATCGTCCAGCCATATTCTAAACTTAATATCTAATGTTCACACTTTGTAACCGTCGCGTAATCATATTTACGCACACGTTCAATCCACGCGCTTCACACGAATGGGCTATGTTCCACATTGTTCTGAACGTAAACGGAATCCACATCGCGGCGTGAAATGCTAAGGTCTCCCGTTGTAGCCGCAGGCTCGAAGTGCACTCCATGCCACCTGAGACAGAAATAGAAGAAAACTTCTTGCGAAATATCTCTTCTTCATAATTCAGAAGAAATTGTAATACAACGTGTGTCTTGTCCCCCTGCAGAGCATAGAATTTACACGTTTGCTGATAAATTTATAACGAAGACTCTATCGATCGACTTCTGCGAACTCACCCTCGCATTTATTCGCACAATTTCAAAATTACATCTCCCGTCAATCATCCCGAGACCCCATCGTCTCGTGCTTAAATTATTAAGCAATGTTGCGTGCGGAAAAAATAAAAGGGGCGAAATTCTACGGCATGGGGAGCGCGCGAGTCAGTTGCGTTTCAGGTGCGGTGCGGTATGGATCGCGTTAAGTCAGACTATTACAAGTTCAGCACCGCGGTTTTGTCGGGGATTGGCCTCTGGCCTAATGGAAACACAAATATCCAGCGATTTCAGATCTTCGTGATCATCATTGCATTCTCAGTGTTTCTAATCATACAGGTATAATAATACCGTAACACGGACAGTGAAAATTACCGAGCGTTTTAAGAATTGGACTTGAAGTTGGTATTTTCCAGTTCATATCGATGGCAACACAGCATTATACAGTGTCGGGATACATAAGTTGCGTCTCACCCTTATCGTTGTCTCTTGGCTTTTTCTTTAAATACTTGACGTTCTTAATTAAAAGTGAAACAGTGAGTCGAAATGACTGTCATTTGTGCGTGTTTTACATTCTGGCAAAGTTTAATACATCAACTAATTAATTAATTCAGATCTGGAAAATGTCTCGTGATATCAGTTACGATTGGGTCACGGTTGAGAACGACGAGGAAGTTAGAATACTGACGAAATACGCCTATAGGGGTGACCGTTTTGGGAAAATGTTTGCATGTAAGAAATAGACAATAGAATCTCATTAGATCAATGAACATTCAAGGGTCATTTCAGTTGTAAAATCTTCTATTATTTGTGAGATAAAATAATTTGTTTGCAGACATAGTATGGATTCCAGTGTTTATCGGGATGACTAGTCACTTCTCTGCAGAGATTCTTGACTTTTTGTTTCCGCTTAACGCCTCGCGACCTCACAATTACCCGTTTCCACTAGAGTATCCCGGCGATCGAGAAAAATACTTCTACCCGTACGCGATCTACGTAGATTTCACATTTTTCGTAGGTTGTACCACGTTCGTTGGTACAGAAGCGCTAAGCACGATGTATATGCATCATGTTATCAGTTTGTTGAAAATCGTAAGGTAACAGGAAAAATGGTATTCCTTCTCTGTCCGAATGTTCTGCGCACTCAAGAGAAATTCTCACAAAACCAAATCGTTTAGAGACAACTCTCATTTTCAGTTATCGTATCGAAAACGCGATTTCTGACTCCACAAATGGATCACAGAAATGTTTAGCGGATAAAGGAAAAGAGGGTCTGATCAAAGCCATCGTTTTACACACACGGGTGATCAAGTTCGTATTTCTAGAAAATATTCATACTCACAATATTTTCCTCGTTANAGAGACAACTCTCATTTTCAGTTATCGTATCGAAAACGCGATTTCTGACTCCACAAATGGATCACAGAAATGTTTAGCGGATAAAGGAAAAGAGGGTCTGATCAAAGCCATCGTTTTACACACACGGGTGATCAAGTTCGTATTTCTAGAAAATATTCATACTCACAATATTTTCCTCGTTACTTAATGGATGGCTCTTTCACACGAATTAACAAATAAATAATTCTGAGATTTGGTCAGCTAGAAATGACACCATTACGTTTTAATTTTTTGAAGGTTCACTAAGCTTATGGAGGAACACTTGTCGGTTTCGTACACTCTGCTTCTTATCTGTGGCGTCATCGCTCTAAGCGTTAATCTATTTTGGGTGAATACCGCGCCTCGTCTGTAAAGAACATATTCTGTTTAATAATAAGAAGAAAACCTGGAAGAACTTCTTTTAGCTGTCGCAGTCGATATCTGGAGTGGATGATCAGATGCTAATTCCTTCGACGTGCATTCTTACCATCTTTATTTACATGTTCTATATGAATTATTTAATACAAGATGTAAACGATGGCAGAGACGATATTTTTACAGCTTTGTAAGTTCCAGCATAATTCCTCCGTTATTAGCAGTAGTCGATTCGTGCACGTACCGTAATTTACCAGTATTCACATATTTCGTTCCATTCGAATGCATGTTATTCAATTGAAGTTTGCAGATACAACAGCGAATGGTACAGAACGCCAGTAACTATGCAAAAGTTGTTACTGTTCATAATGTTGAAAACATTAAAAGGTGAAATCTTCAACCTGCTGGTCGTGTTCACACCATCATTCGAAGGTTTCGCTACTGTACTTATCGCTTCAGATTGCTGAATAATAAAAGTCTGACAGTACCTCGATTGTATGTAATCTGTATTTTCAGTTAGTAAATACGTCAGTATCCTATTTCATGGTGATGTACTCCATCCAGTGATATCGTTAACATATGATACTGGATTAGCCGTCATAGGAAGTTTGTTGATCGTCAAATCATTTTCATTGTTCTGCGATGTAGGATTCTTTTTATTGCACTATTCAATAAACGTACATTTGTGAGGAAAGCTGGGAGAATTGTATGTTATAAATCTGAATTATCCCTCAAACACTTCACCTCTTTGACACGTATCATTCTCATTGTACACATCCGCACGCTTCATA